CAGCTGGTTAAGGCAACAGACCTGAAGCCTGATAACTTGAGTTCCTGCCCCAGGATCTACCTGGTGGAATAAAAGAACCAACTCCAAAAAGTTCTCCTCTAATATCTACACGTGCCAAATACACACACACACCTAATAAATGAAAAAGTCAATTTTTTTTTTCAGAGTCATACCAAATACTCAATCGCCAGTCACTTAAGCAACACATTACAGACACTTGTGAAGTCCCAGATGATTCCTCCCAGACCTTTACTTCATCTCTCCCCAGAGGTGACCACCACTCTGATTTGGTGTCCATCTCCCACACACTCCCGAATTTTTATTATGCAAGTATAAACCTATGGAAATACAGGAACATGTCATTCTTTTCATAAATTTTATTTCTTTAACAATGACTGTGATGCTCACACAAATGAACAAAGGATGACCAGCAGTACAGCATTCTTGGCTACCTAGTCTCTGGAGCATAGACCACAGCAGTTTTGTGCTTACCTACATGGAGGCAACCTATAAACAGAGAAGCGGTAACGTGCATATTTGCCTCTGCTTTGTAGACATAAATGGTAGGGAGCTATACATTACATTTTGCTCTTAAAATATGCACAGAAAACTCTTCTCTAAACTATATAAAATTCCTTTACTCCTAGTGCTCAAGAGGTAGAGGCAGGGGAATCTCTCTGAGTACAAAGGGAGCCTGGTCTCCAGAGTGAGTGCCAGGTTAACTGATACACAGAGAAAACCTGTATTGAAAAAAATGAAAGAGAGAGATTTTTAGTTTCAGGGAGATGGTTTAGTGTGCACAGGTTCTTAAGGATCTGAGTTTGGTCTCTCTGGGACTAACATGGCAGAAAGAACTCTAGAAAGGATTCACTCCCAAGTTCCCCTCTGACCTCCACATAATGCACCATGTCATGAGAGACACACAGAGTATAAAAAGTTATTTCTAAACTTTTTTGTTGTACTTTTTGTTCAGTATTTTGAGGCAAGATTTCTAGCAGCCCCAGGCTGATCTTTAACTTGTTATGTAGCAGAGGCTGGACTTCAACTCTTAATCCTCCTGCCTTTCTCTCTCAAGTACTGGGTTTATAGGTGTTGTTACCACACCCAGCTAATTCTAAACGTCTGTATTATATGTACTGTAACAAATAACACAGTGATCCAAGCATATGCACACATACAGAATAAACTCCTACAAGTTCTATTACTAGGTTAACTTTAGTACACTATATATAGTACTGATTTGTATTGGCATTAGACAACTGTTTTGTGTGTTTTTTAAATCTATATAAATCTATATAAATATTCTCCTACAACATGAATTTGTGTTTTTGGTTTTAGAAACAGTGTCTCATGTAGCCCCAGTAGGACTCAAACTCCATATCCTATCAAGATAACAACCTTCCTGCCTTGGCCTCCCAAGTGCTAAGATTACAAGCATGTCCCACCATGCCGGTCTCTACAACTTGCCTTTGGTGCCTAACCTTATTTTCTAAAGATTCACTCATGCCACATGTATACAACATATATGTACATAAACAATATATATGTCTACAATATGTATGTGTAATATTGTATGTAGATTTATTTATTTATATTAGTTTTTTGAGACAGGGTTTCTTTCCTCTGTGTAGCTTTGGAGCCTGTCCTGAAACTAGTTCTTGTAGACCAGGTTGGTCTCAAACTCACAGAGATCCACCTGCCTCTGCCTCTGTGCCTCTCTGCCTCTGCTGTAATTAAAGGCATGTGCCACCACTGCCTGGCATAGATTTTATTTTTAACAAGGAAATTTTCCTGATTCATTCAAAGAGAAAAGTGTCTATTTATCTGAAATAATGGTTTAATGGAGAAATGCTCACCAACCTAACAGATCATATGCAGAAGTAACTTACTTGCTGAAGAAACATCCAGCCCATAAAAACTGTCAAGAACTGCCATTATAGATGCTCTTCCAGGACCATGACTCTGTTCATCAATGTTTTTATAACAGTTCTATGGGAAGTGGAAGATGGCATTCAAAGGAGTAGAGACTGACACGTTGACAAACAGAGGGAGGGAAAAAGATACCTTGACCATAATAATTCAAGCCCAATCCCAAAACCTAGTTTTCTCTTTAACCTTTCCCCTCCAAATATCCAAAAGTATCCCAAGTATTTTCGTTAGTATTTATTTCATAACAAGATAAGCACTATCGATTTAGCCACAAAATTCAATCTCTAGGGCTAGGGTGTGGCTCAGCTGGTAGGACATTTAGCTGAATAGCATGCAAGACGCTCGGGGTTCAGTCCTTAACACTATATGAAATCAGGCAGGGTGGCACATGTGCCTGCAATCCAAGCACCAGGGAGGTAGGTGCAGGACCACCAAAAGTGCAAGGTCTTCCTCAGATACATAGTGAGTCTGAGGCCAACCTGGGCTCCATGAGATCCTAACTCGTGAAACAAAAGAACAAACAAAAATCCTTAAGTGCCCCAGAGGCACTGGACAGTATACTGGTGATTTATTTATCTATCAGTATCACCTTTTCTATTTTCTTTTAATTTTATTCATTTTATTTTATGTGCATTGGTGTTTTGTAATTGGTGCCCGGTCCCCTGGCACTGGAATTACAGACAGTTGTGAGCTGCCATGTGGGTGCTGGGAATTGAACCAGGGTCCTCTGGAAGAGCAGTCAATGCTCTTAACCACTGAGCCAGCTCTCCAGCCCCCAATATCATATTTTCTGTTAAACTCTCTTATGTTAAATTTACCAACATATATAATACATTATATGGCTAATGCTAGTATCTCTAAGAATTCTCATCAAACTAAGACTGGGGTTAATTACCAACATGACCACTATAGTCATTAATTTTACTTGCCTCCCATTTTCTCTCCTACCCTGACAATACTCATTCTTTGTAGATGTCTCTCCAGCAAGAGGGAGAACATGTATAGCCATATACTGTATCCAAGTATTCAGGGGGGAAAAACATGCTCCCAACACACATACATCCCAACCTGGGTACCGTTCCTCTCACGGTCATGCCATAAACCAAATGACACATGGCTATTCCTTGCTATGGAGAAGATGATAGCAAAAAAAAAATAAAATAAATAAAATCATGGTTTCTATTACTACTACTAAAAAAAAAAAAAAGTAAAAGCATCCCAAATGTTTAGCAGTTTTAAAATGAACTGGCTGAATAATTAAACCAACATCAACTAACAGGTTTAAGGACAAGTTTAATTATAACCATGAAGCTATGATCCTCTGACTCATACTGGCCCTCTATATTTGGGGAGGTTTATGACTGACAGGATAGTATTTCAAGAGAAGACTGTGTGGGTGGAGAAGTGAAGGTTAAGGAAAAGCATAGTCACTTGGGAAGATCCTGTCTTCACAGGTCAAACCCCAAAACTGAAAACAACCTCTTCTTCCTTTCCTATCAGCCTGATCCCACTCTGGTGTGTGTCAAGAGAACAGCAGATACCTCCTTCTGAGCAGAACTGCCTGAAGGAGGGTTATGAGTCCAAGATTGTCTTATCACCGACATCAGAGCACAGCATTTCCTTCCAACACTTGTAAACTAAAAAGCACCTTAGAATGGCTAACAAGGGTCATGCTTAGCTAAAAAGTAAACAGAACACTGAAACGGCTGCCTGTATACCAGCTACTTAGGAGGCTGCAGCACACAGGATGACACATTCAAAGTCAGCCTGGGCAGCACTGTAACATTCTCAATCAATCAATCAATCAATCAATCAATCAATCGATGGAAACAAAGCAGAAACCTGAAGAGCACACTGACTACACCTGCTCTTCCCTCACACTGTTGGGCTTGCTGATTTTCCTAAATTTCATGCATTTGCTCCCCTGAGGGTTACACAGTAACTTCCAAGTTTTAGGACTAGGAAAAGACCTAGTCCTTTTTTAATCACCTTTTTATTTCAACTAAATATCTACTAAGAGCTTACTATATGCAGGTCATAGTCTATTATTTCCCTAAAACCAATGCATGAATTATTTCTTATCAATTCCAAACTTCCTTCCTCTAAATATTTAATAGCAGGCTTAAATATTTTAAAGGGGAAAATGTCCACTTCACAAAGGTTGCAATCAGAACTTTTCCTTGTCAGAGCTGGTAGAGAGAGCAGGATTGTTGTTGACAGAATGATATACTTTTGTTACCACAATAACCAAGAGATTCTACCAAAACAAAATGTCCAAAGGATGTGCACTAAATTACTGTGAGAATTATGGTGAGAATAAAGGGAAAATGTACCAATAGGCTAATAAATACCATCTGGAGGTAACATATGCCCTGCCTACCAGGTATGGCTCTATAAATCTCAAAACTTCCAAAAATGAAAACACTTAAAGCACAGGGTCAGCATTCAATTATAAACCATGCAAAGAAAACACTGCACCAGTTCACATGCACATCCATCAAATGTCCTAATGAAGATCAGTCGTCTTTACAAGGAAATTATGTTATTATTATTAATTATTATAATTGTTATAGTTGTTATTATTTCTGAACAATCTCTCCACAGCTACCTTATTTTTGGGAGAACAAATTTCGACTCAGGAAATTGAAGAAGCACTTAAGCCAACAACCTCCTCAAAGCGAGGCAGCGACAACTCCGAGGACCAAGGCGCGATGGGCTGGCTGGCTCTGCGCCAAGGGTGCACAAGGGATAAGAAAACGAGAAGACACCCTGGTCCCCCGCAGGCGTCCCCGCGCACGCAGTACCCAACTCCCTGGTCTGGGAAAGTTGCATTCTGAGACATCCCCGCCCCTCGGGCGCCGCGCCGTCGCCATGGCGACCGCCCCCACCCCACCGCAGCGGACCCCATCGCTCTGCAGCCCGCGGCGGCCTCGGGCTCCGCTCCCAGAGCCGCCCGGACCCGGGATACGGAGCCCAGAGACCCGGAAGGCGGGCGTGGAGGAGGATGCGGAGTACGAAGAGGCACGGTCACCATCCGTTCGCGGGGTCCGCGCTGGCCCGGGCGTCCTTACCCTTCACTTTCCCGAAGGTGCCTACGCCCAGAGTGTCCCCCAGAATGTAGTGGCCGATCTTCACCCGCCCGTCGTGCTTCTGCTTCTCGGCCGTCGCCATCTTTCTCCAGGAACTGAGTCTGCGCATGGCGCCGCGGGAGGGGGCGGAGGGGGCGGGTAGGGCCGCGCCGGGGGCGGGCGGGTGTCGAGGGGGTGGGGACGCGGGTGCGCCGCGGCGGGGCGCAGTCGCCGGCCGCCGCCCCCGTAGGCCCCGCAGTCCCCGCAGCCGGCCGCCGAGCGCACTCGCTCCCCCTGGCGGGCTGGGCGGCGGGGCGGCGGCAGCGGCGCCGGTACTCGCCTCGGCGCCCCGCATCCCTGTGCGCGCGCCCGCCCGCCCACCTGCGCGCGGGAGAGCTCCCTAGCTTCCCCTCACAGTTGCCCCTCCAGGGTCTGCAGGTCGGCGTGCAGCCCCCCTGTAATCCCCAGGAGGGCAATGCAGAAACGTTGCCCTGGGATAGTACAGTGTGCTTTGAAACATGGCAGGGGACACCGCCCAACCACTGACTGCTAACCTTAATTTTCATCTCAGTGACATCTGGAAGCCCAGGGTGTATTCACTTGCACTTTTAATACTTTTCACAGCTTAAAAAAAAAAAAAAAAACCAACAACTCTGAGCCAGTAACTACTTTTGGGCACCGCACAGCTCAAACAACCTGGAGGGTTTGCTACCCTCAGTTTTCCCCTGTGGCGAGCAGCAGGCTGGGAATGTGTGTGCGCGAATGTATCCGTATTCAGGAAAGAGAAATGTTATCCCGAATTTATGGTGTATAGAAATTAATATTTTACATTTTCAGTGAAATATGCACGTCGATTGCACTAAAGAAGAAGTATTGTTGGTATAAACGGAGCCATGATGTATCACTAAGAAAGTGCTTGTTTGTAATCGAATTTTCAAGGAAGTCTGTTACTCAATTCTACCCTAACAATTGGCAAAATCAACTTCATTATCATAAAAAAATGTATTGCCCTCCTTCAATTTTGCAGTTTCAATTTCTACCGATGTCAATGGACAAAATGGTCAGTCTTCGTGAAGGAATGTTTGTTTTGTTTTTTAAGAGACTAGAAATGCCATTTTCCTTAGGAATGAAAATTGCCAACTCTCCTAATTTTCCCCATCTTCTGACATCAAAGTGATGTAACACTAAGTACTGCTTTGTTCCAAGAAAAGCACTTCTGGGGGAAAGAAATCCTCTTTGAGCTTGGAGCACTGGCTCCCAGCCTTCCTAATGCTGTGACCCTTTAAAACAGTTCCTCATGTTGTGGTGACCCCAACCGTAAAATTATTTTTGTTGCTACTTCATAACTAATTTTTCTACTGTTATGAATCCTAATGTAAATATCTGTGTTTTTCCAACAGGCAACCCCTGTAAAAGGGTCCTTTCTTTCACAAAGGGGTCTGTCTCAACTTAGAGGTTGAGAACATCTGACTTGAGTACATCATAAGCAAAGAACAGTAACTGAGACCAGTGGTGGATACTCATCTCCCTACTTTACATTTAGGTTGAAAGGTAAAATAAAACTTTTTTTGTTTGTTTCTTTTGTTTTTTGAGACAGGGGTCCTCTGTATGTAGCTCTGGCCATCCTGGTATACCGTGGCTGTCACTCTGTAGACCAGACTGGCCTCAAGCTCACAGGAAAGTAAGACATTTTGATAGCTGGTATATCTGGCTGACTGGATTCAACTTTTCATGGTTGCCTTGTGAGGCTCTTTGAATTAATATAAGGCAGAAATAGCACTGAATTCTATTAAAGAAGGGGAAACCCTTTAACTTCTCCCACCCCCTGAAATAGCGTCTTAATTTACTTCATGGCTAAGATTTGCCCAGGGGAGGTTCTGCACTTTATTTTAATCTAAAAGAAATAATTTGGCTAAGATTGTAGTTCAGCATTTGCCTAGCATGGTGAAGCTGTGGGTTTGATACCCAGCAGCATATAAAAGTGAGCATGACTGCTCATGCCTGAAATCTTAGCAGTGGGATCAGAAGTTTGAGGCCACCTGTGAACTTTGAGGCCACCCCAAAGTACATGAGACTCTTTCAAAACTAACATGAACTGAGGGAGGAGAGATGGCTCAGCAGTTAAAGACACATGCTGCCAAGCCCGAAGACCTGAATTCGAACCCCAGAACCTACACAGCAGGAGGAGAAAATGAACTCCTAAAAGTTTTCCTCTGATCTCCACATGCTTGCCTACAAATATACACATTAAGTAAATGCTTTAAAAAAAAGAAGAAAAGAAAAAGAAAATAATAACAAAATAGTCCAACTGTGTGCCAATTACATCACTAGGATGTTGCAAAAGAGCAAACGGAACTGAGTTTTGTAAAAACCACTTGCCAGTTTCTCCTGAAACTACCAAAGACTTGAGAATCTAGTATAGCATCAAGCACAAAGGTGCACTTCTTTGATCCTAGCACTCATAGGCAGAAGCAGGTGTACCTGTGGGGTCTGGGGCTACATAGGGAGCTCCAGGCTAGCAAAACTGAGACTGTCTCAAAAGAAAAACAATCTCCAAAAGCTGAAGATCATGCAAAGGCAACTGGAGAGCTTTTTGTTTTTGTTTTTTTTTTTTTTGTAAAATGGTATCATCTGATACAATTATAGTTAACACAGAGTCCAAAGTTTCAATAATCTGAGAATCAAAATAAAATACTCCAAGAAAGTGGAAGAACAAATCTTTACCACACATCTTTGAATTTTCCTTGGAAACATATTTTAAGTCAATTTAACACCTTGATTTACCTCCCCATAGTCTCAGTTAGAAAAATGAATCCAATAAATCAGACATTTTAAAATTTGTAATTCAATAGTTTTGTTAAACCTGTTTAAATAAAAGATAACTAATTTAAAATTTTAAAAATGAAGAAATGTACTCTGGCATTATTTTCACTTTTGAACTATTTGCTTTTATTGTTGAAACAGAGTTATTTTCCTCAACCTTAACTAGTTTTTTTGGGGGGGTTGTTTGTTTGTTTTCTTTATTTTTGGTTTTTTGAGACAGGGTTTCTCTGTACAACAGCTCTAGCTGTCCTGGAACTCACTTTGTAGACCAGGCTGGCCTTGAACTCACAGAGATCTACCTGCCTCTGCCTCCCAACTGCTGAGATTACAGGTGTGTGCCACCCCTGCCTGGCTTTGGGGTTTTTTTTGTTTTGTTTTGTTTTGTTTTTTAAGATTTATTTTTATGTGCACTGGTATTTTGTCTGTATGTATGTCTGTGAGGGTGTCAGGTCCCCTGGAACTGGAGTTATAGACAGTTGTGAGCTGCCATGTGGGTGAGGAGAATTGAATCCAGGACCTCTGGAAATGCAGTTAGTGCTCTTAACCCGTGAACCTGAGCCATCTCTCACCTCTCCAGACCCTACTTTTTTTTTTTTTTTTTTTTTTAATGTCTTCAATAAAGCCTACATTTTCTGGTTGTGTGGAAAGCCTGAAATAGTAAGTCAGACTGTTGAGCAGGAACTTAGAGATTGTCTTATCTATTGACCACAGCTCAGGCTTAAGCAGCTTTCCATGCTAGAGTTTCAAAGGTTTTGTTTGAAGGAATTGTGTTGTCAGTTTGAGAGGGTTGTTTGTTTTGGGGGGGTTGTTTTTTTTTGTTTGTTTGTTTTCTTATTTTGAGTTAAAAACCCAAATCAAATTGAGTGCTGAAATGGTAAAGAATAAGCCTTCTATAGCTCTTTGCTTCTCTTTCCTTCCGAGTTAAAAAAAAAAAGTTAATAATGCTTTCTTGTACCTTCTTTTCATTTATTCTCCCACTGATCTATCTCTAAACCTTCACTTTCTTCAAATGCTTTTTAATTCCAGGCACTATGAAAACTGACATTTTTCAATGATATGAAGTTGTGGTCCCTACTGTTGAGAAAAGTGAACAGTATTATATTCTACCAAAATAATTCTTTTTATTTCCCTGCCCCCCCCCACCCATGATGTATTATGCTACATAGCTCAACAGTCTTCTAGCATGGAGGCAAAGATAAACTTCCCGGTAGCTGATACCCAGTTACTAACCTATCAGTTTTAAGACCAGCCCATCTCAGGAAAGTAGTTTGAATTCACTCTAGTTTAAGAGAAAATACTATAAACTTTAAGCCTGATTTAGTACTGTGGCATTCATTAATTCAAATGAGTTTGGTCCTGATGAAAAAGGACAACCCAGTACTGATGGAGAGTAATGGAGGAACTCAGAGACAGACATCTGCTTATGCTCTAGCCCATTGGTGCCTCTAAGAAATTGTGTCTCTTACTGTTCTTTTCTTAAGTACTAAAGTCTACAGTATGGCTTTTTCTACATTACCTCAGTGTGCATCTGTATTTGTGGTAGTTGAGTCAGGATAGTAAGACAGGAAGAGGACCACAGAAATGAGTCGGCCGATAAAGACACTAGCTACCCAAACCTGATGACCCAAGTTTGGTGTAAGAAAAAAAGAAAAGAAGAAGAAGAAGAGAAGGAGGAGGAGGAGGAGGAGGAGAAGAAGAAGAAGAAGAAGAAATGTGTCTAGATGGTTCCCTTAACAAAGCATTTACTGTCTATCTAGATAGAAAGAGGCATCAGCATCCATCCATCTCTACTTTCTTATTGTGGACACAGTGTAACCATCTACCTAGTGTTCCTGCTACTATACCTTAAAGATATGATGGGCTGTACATTCAACCTGGGATACAAAATAAACCACTCCTGAAGCCACTTTTCTTGGGTAATTTGTCTCAACAATGAGAAAAGTCACTAACAGTGCATTATTTATTTGTTGTCAGATAAAGCCCAGGAGATTACACTATATTAAATATTATGAACTAAATTTGAGTATCTCCAAAAATGTGTCTGTTAAAATTCTACCCTTATAATTTGAGGATCTATTAGGTCATGAGAGTAAAGACCACAGGAATAGAAATTGTGCCTTTAAAGACAGCAGAGAGCTCTCTTTCTACCATGTACGATGACAACACAAGGAGTGAACAGTCTACTTTCTTTTTGTTTGTTCATAAGCCACTTGATCTATTTATAAAATCTGAAAAAAGAGAAAGCAAACTAAAAAAGAGAGAGAGAAAGAAAACAGTTTGTTTTGTCCCCTGCAGCAAAACATTTTTTATCAGATTCCCCAGCACACATTAAATGAGTGCCTTACAAGTTAATTCAATTTTTGACAAGTTCTTCATGAAAACAGTGTCAGACCCCATAAGTAAAGGGCTCTAATCCATAGGACCATGTCCCTTATCAGTTGTCAACTACACACCTCAGGGTATGACTTCATACTTCAATACTGCACAGCCTAAAACCATTCCTCTAGTTCTGTTAGTTTTCTACAGCAGCTCACACAACCTAAGAAA